GATGATGATGATTTGCTCAGTCAGTATCGGTGTGTTTTAGTGCATTTCCGCACGCGACAACATGAGAATTGATTTCCAAATAATCTTCAAACCTGTGTCATTGACTGTATGCTCTATGTTTAGGCGTACACAAATTATTGGTAAAAAAAAAAAGATCAAAGAAATAAAAAGCATCGTAAGGACATGGGAAATATAAGGTCCTATGCAAACATCCGTGCTGATTCCGTGGTGCTAAAAATATTTGTTTCAAGTCCGAGGGCACGACATTTGAAACGCACTATGAATGGACCGACAAGTGTTTTGACAGAGTCAAATGTGTCGACCAGACTCAAGTTATGTACATAACAAAATATGTTGAAGGAAAATTAAAATTACCGATTTAACTGTTTAAGATTTGTCATTTGTTTTATAAGTATTGCATCGTGGAATTTCTTTCTTCTAAGAAATGACCATAAGTTTTGTAGACAAAACCTGAAACTTTTACTGGGTTAAGTTAGTTGCGTTTCCTTTTCATGACGATGCAGAACCAACCCTAGCATGTTTTGGCCATTTCGGTTTTTCTAGGCAAATTTTAGGTTTATTAGTTTGCGATAGATTTCTAAACGGACAGCTCTCAGTACCACTGTCGAAACCAACTCAAGACAAATCAATCGGCAGTTGGGATCAAACCCGGCATCACGGCATTACAAAGTGCCTTCGCAACACATAAGCCACATAGGCCGTATTACTGGATAGAAAGAAAATTATCTACCTAGAATAAATCTTGTATCCTAATTAAATCCCATATTATACAAATATTTAATTTAAAATTTATTTTATGTTTACCCCCCCCCCCCCTCCCCCGACATTTCCCCGTCTATGTTTCGATTTACATTTTATAAAATTAACAACTCAAGTTGAATTGAGTCAACAGTTGACCACACAGGCACTCAGGGCAGTTTCATGTGTGCTCCATCCTTATCTTTAGCAGCCAGCGCAGAGTTCCAGTACTGACGGTACCGGTCACAATCTGGTCTTGCCTTTCCTTTGAGTGTAGTGAACCGGCCAGACTCTCTGGTTACACCCAGGTGCCTCATTCTCTCCAGGCCATAATAATCTTGTCTCTCTACTGATTCCTTTGCTTGTTCCCTTGACCACATCTGCCATGTTATGTATTAATTCACCACTCAGCGATGCAGATCCAGCCAATATGCCCGCCTGTTCAGTACCCATTACGCCGGCATAGTCTAGAGAAATGATCCAAAGTATACTCACTACACGTAACATTCACAGTGAAGCTTGCCACTCTGCTCAAAGCATCCCTGTCTTCAAATTTCTCAGTATGCTTTCAGAGTCTATTACAATTATGACATGTGTATGCATCTTGTTCTCTAGCCACCGGAGAGCTGCAGTTACCGCCTCCGCCTCCATTCTCATGCTAGATGTTGTGATGTCGTATGCTAGGCTGTCTTGCACTAAAGATTTTCCATTGGCTTTCGCTACGAACTAATATCTCAGGTATAAGATTCAAACAGCTCCAAATCCGGGAAACCCCGCTCAACCGTATAACTTTTACAGCACAGTTATATTGTAGTCCAGTACGGGTAGGTTTCCTGCTATATATGGTTCTGCCTGTCTTGTAGAATACCTAGCCGCCTGCACAAAGCGCACATTTCTTAATTCCAACGACGACCCCTTCTGATTTCCGTGAAAATCCCAGTGATCTGAACGATGCAGTCCCTGAAACGAGCCAACGAGTTTCAGAGCGTTAAGCAAACAAACTTTGAAGAAAATAAATCCGACTTTTAAAACTAAAATGTTAAAGAATATCATTGACCAAGAAGAAGAACAGCACAAAGATCCTACATTGTTCGTCCATCGAGGAGAACTGGTTCATAAAAAGCTTCCTGTTCCAAAAAGCTGTGCAATTTTAACCACCTTAAGCGACATGGACAGAACAGTTCCGATGGTGGAGTTTCTGGTAAGCGAAGTATTTTCCGGGCCCCGCAACAGTGGATACAAGCCACTGCTGATGCATTCAGTATGAAAGCAGACAGGGCAGGAGAATTAGCCAGAGAAAGAAAGTCTTTCAAGCGTGCCGTAATGAGAGCAACGTTCTGTGAATGACCTGTGATTGATGAGGATAAGATTCATGGACACAACATGGGTAACTTTGAAAGTCAGGATACAGAAATTCAATTTTTTTTAAACTCACGTTTAAAAGATTTTAAAGGGCAAAATGATTGAGCTATATCTATCTGTCTATCTATCTATCTATCTATCTATCTATCTATCTATCTATCTATCTATCTATCTATCTATCTATCTATCTATCTATCTATCTATCTATCTATCTATCTATCTATCTATCTATCTATCTATCTATCTATCTATCTATCTATCTATCTATCTATCTATCTATCTATCTATCTATCTATCTATCTATCTATCTATCTATCTATCTATCTATCTATCTATCTATCTACTATCTATCTAT